TGGGTATCCTAAAGCGAGAGAAAGGGACACTCTTTGTCCCTTTACTCATGGCTTCTGCGTGTTCATTTCAAAACACGGAACAAGGTTCAGGTACGCCGACAAGAACTCCTATTGACCATGACCCTCTCCTACAAGGATCGTGTCCATGTGCTTCAGGACAAAGTGTAGAAGTCGCTGTCGGTCAAACAATTTTCCAGGTGACTGCCTCAGATTCCCCTTTCGGAACGAGCCCAGAAAAACAACATAAGCAACAATAAAACTACTAATCCAAGAACCCCTGGTCCGCTGTATTTCCTTTTTGTCCTCATCAGAACCAATATGAACATATATGAACCAGTCATTTGATCGTTTGGTTGTAGGAGGACGCTTAGAAAGAAAGTCGATCTTCCAGTTGTGTTGGTGCTACATTCTGCTTTGACTCTGATCCTGTTATCGTTCTTTATGTCGCCCCAGGAGTATGTCGTTGATTGCTACGGGTTCCTCTGCAAAAATGACAGGCCGTATCCTGAGAAACTCCAACTGACGATGCTGCAGCAACCTGTTTATGAATCTTTCCGTGGTGGCTTCTTTGGCCAAGAGTTGAACCAATTGAACATGGCATTGGGTTTATTGGATGGCACGCCTTGTTGACTTCTTCATTACCAGGAACACAATGTATAACAGTATATACGTATAAACACTAAAAGGCCCGCTGATGAAAAAGACTTCCTTGAACAAAATGTCTTGGACCGCGGGAGAAGTGGAAATGCTTTATCGACAGTTTTGGACTTTTTTCCCCTTCTTCCAAGGGTTGGGATCTTTTGCTCTGTTGGTGACTGAATAGTTCATCTCCAGTGGATTCTCCAGCGCCATGACTCCAACAATGAAACTAAGCAAGTACGCAATGATAGTGATACTCTTGCATTCTGCTAGTGGAAGAGACATGAAGAATCCCTAGGAAACTTGCTGTACCAAAACACATTCATATTGCAATCTGAGAGCACTTCCTGATCTCAGTGTAGGACTTCCCCGATTGGCTCCGTGTCGGACAGTACTCCGTCGAGGAGTCACACCGAGCCATACACGTCTGAGGCAGCAAATTCTGCACAAACATGCAGAAAAACCCTGAAGTTCAACTAAGTAGCTCATTCGACCTCTGCTCATCCACACCGTTCGTCCGGTTCACCACAGTCGGGTCCACCGGCGGTGGAGCGGCGTCTCGGCGCGCGTCCGGCAGGGCCGGCGTCGACTCCGCGAGGCCTCGACGCAGGGCCTGGCCCATCTGCATGGCTGTCCTGTCGGAGGATCCGATCGATGGATTGGTGTAGAACGGGGATGGTCATTATATTGGAATGATACTTGACATGAGTCAATTTTGGAGGGCAATGGCGGCATGCTATGGAAGCAAATGGCTTGTGCTTCAAGGAATTGGCCTTTAGGCCCTTAGCATATGCAGGTTTTTGTCCTTTGGAGAGTCCTTCTACGAGACTTCTGGGGGAATTCGTTGAAACGGATCTCTGGTCTTGACGCAAGGAAGCTTATCATAAACGATCTTGCGGAATCTTGCGGACCTTTTGCAAACTCTAAATGCTTCGCTCTTGACTTTGCAGGCTTGAATCTCTCCCTGGCACTCCTTCCAACGGTCTCAATCCCCATCTCCCGGGGTCCTGGACCCTTCACGCGCCAGAGTGGAACCACGTGTGATGGCATGTCGCACCACCGGCCTGGCGCCCGCCCGCGGGCGCGTGTGGGCACGACACGTTGACCAGAATTCCCAGTGACTCCAGTCAGAGCATCAACATTGGCTCTTTGTTGTTACAAATTTAACAACCCATGACGCAAGTAACCAGCGGCAAGATAGTAACCACGAGAACCCCCCAAATCACCGTACTCAGTCAGGTTATAAGTATATTGAACTAACAACAAAGCTTTTTGCAAACGCAAAGGTTTGATGCTATATTTACAGATCAAACGGGAGCTCGAAACCCAATGTGATCATTCACCGAACCTCGCCGTAGGGTCGTCCACGTCGACAGAATGTCTGGGACTACGAGTAGAGGGGCGCGCAACGCGCGTGAGGTTCCGTTTGAACTCCCGAAGCTTGCAGAGATGTTTGACCCAGATTCACCTGCTTTGGCAACTTGATCTGGAAAATTGAAAAGGATTTGTACTGAGTGGGGACAAGGACTGGGAAGGGTGGGAAAACTGGACTTGGAACTCGGCAATTTTTCTGGGCAACTGTTTGTGCACTTTGGCTTAGGCGTGAAGGTGTGCTGTTGCGTCCCTTTGCAGTGTGCATATTTGTACACAATATGAGGTGTTACGTTTAAGAAACACATTAAACAACATTCTTGTGCGTGAACTTTCGTATCTTTCGTTGTCGGAGCGAACAAAACATCTGAAATCATGATATATTAATCAATCGTGTCTTGCAGTATATAATAGTATAATTATCACAAGAAGGCCACAGGTAGGACCTGCCAGATCTGTAAGCACTTAGCAGTTGGAGGTACTAAGTTGGTTCGTGGACCTGTCAGATTTGGATGTGCCCCAGGGCCACGGATCGAGTGGATGATCATGGGACCAAAAAGGGATGACAAATGGTGACAGTGGATGATCATGGCACGTCCAGGAGCGGGGCAATACCAAAAACGCAAAAGGAATCCAATGGGCACCGGGCCCAATAACGACAATTCTAACAGGTGTCCCTGCAGAACGCGTGCTTTGCTGGAACCGAACACCCGGTAGAATCAAACCCGCAGAACACGTGCTGTCGCTGTCTTCGGATGTGTCTACAATGAGACAAAGCCTGCAGGCAACACACGCTTCCATCACGCCGACTGGCTGCAACAGGTTCGGGATCAGCAACGAGCTTCTTTGCTGTGTTCCCTCTTGTCTGAGCTTTCTGAAGATCTCGCAGCAAATCTGGGCATGTTGACATAAACCATCCTAAACCGACCTATTACAAGACCTGTAGCAGCAACCGTTCTGAAACGGCCTTTCCCTCCCAAAGGTCCTTCCCTCCCGGGTCTGACCAGGACCTCTTCCCCACGGCACGGGGCCTCAGTCGGAATCCGAAGAGAATCAGCAAGAGCCACAGGGCTCCGAGCTCTCCGCCCGTCGACCGGATCTTGTGGAGCCATCGCCTGGGAAGGGTTGGACTTTCATGCGAGCTCGGAGCCACCTGGATCTGTTCATAAGGGCATAAATGGTGTAAGGGATCTTGGAGTTCTAAGTTCTAACCCCCCCAAGAAAAGTGCAAACTTGTGTACACCACTAATCCAAGTGGTGCAGGGGTGATGTGCAGAGTTTCAGCTTAGTAGTAGGTTGTAAGTGTCTTCTGCGTTCGTCTTCTGAGCTGATTGTTCCCATGACCTTTGGAGTCCACTCAATGTCTTTCGAAGGTCATGTCCATGATTGAAGCGAAGCATGTCGTGCTTGTCCTGATGTCGTGCTCAGCTGAAATTGGAAAAAACAACACCTTCTTCAGTGAACTCATAGGGTCACTCCCAACCAATAGGTGTGGGTGAGTTCTCTGGGAACAGATTGAACTCCTACCGTACCCCAATACAATTGGTGGTCCGTACCCCTCATCTGTTGCCCTTTTTTCAGTGAGACTCCGGACACACCTGGACTCCAAGGTGTGATGCAAATGCTTTGAACCTGAGACCCCCTGAACTGGAAGAGGTGGGCGCCCTTCATGGCCACGAAGAGGACACCAGCCTTCCCTTTTCGGATTCAATCATCAATGATCGCATAAGTCATTCAATCTGCCAGAACGTCCAGACTTCTCCGAAAAGGGAGATGCAAATCTAGAGCATCGAGGGTGAACACTCCAAAAAACAAAAAATCCTCGAAATCATCACCCCGTCGTCATCACGCCGAGTCGCTGGAGCAAAGGCGCCCGTTCCAGCAGCCGGTTTCGGTATTCATGGGAGAAAAGCGTGTCGTACGCCACGGCCATGGCAGGGCAGCTGAGGGGGAGTCGACGCTGCGGTTTGCAGCCCACTTTGAGAACGGATCTGCTTGCAGGCCCAAAAGAATTGAACGTGTGAACGTGAGTGAAGATTAGAGTTTGGGGACTGCAAATGTTGGCAGCTCTATTCACTCGCACCTTGCCCACATCGCAGCCATAGACGGAAGAAAAGGTTCTGTCCCATGTGGCATGTATGTTAGTAGCTTTTTGCAAGGAGGTCCCTTCCCGAGATCCAATCCAAACTGTGACATCTGGTGGAACTATCCCCTTCAAGACTTTGATATTCTGAAGCCTGTGCCCTTTTGCATTGAGTAGCGACCGGATCTCTTTTCATGGCTTCTCCTCTCATGGGAACCTGGGAACCTGCGAGTACTGCAGCGAGTAGGCCTATCAGCATGAGTGATAGCTTGCGGCCTCGGATTGATATGGATTGATCGTAGCCTGTTGGAGGTTGACCTCTTGTAGGTCGTCCATTCCGTTCACTTTCCCTGGGAAAAACCAGGGTTCCCTGGTTGTGACCCACAGCCATGTGAACAGGTACGGGGCATCTATAAACCACCCAGGCACCCTCAGGGGTGCTGCTTGGCTCATCAGTGCCACTGTCTCATTGTTGTCTCGCTCTTTCCAACATTGAGAAACAACGAGAAACATGCATATTGCAATTCTACATTCATGATCTGTGTAGGTGACCATATGGTCTTTGGGCATCTATTATCTATCTATATATATAAATATATCTGCACGCTCATTAATCTCTGAGCTGCCAAACAACATCACATGCGGATGTTGCATATTTGGTCATGCAAATTCATGGGTCATTGTAGGAAAAAACAGGACATGCCCAACAAAACAAACAGAGCATGAACAATCCCTGACCAACCTGACTTCTTGACATTCTCAGGGACCACCGCCTGTTTGTGATAGGGACGGCCTCTCAGTTCTGCACCAGGCCGAACGACCGATCTTCCCCGTTGCGTCACTGTTGTGCCTTCAACGGATCGCGTGGTCCACCAGTTTCGTGTAACAGGTTCTCTGGGGCCATCACAAGCGACTCTGTAAGGCGACCTCGCCCAAATCCTAGCGGTGATGCATGGCAGGGACGCATGGCGGCCGGTCTGGAGCACGGCGGTGACGCATGTTTGCTTCATCTCGCAATCGAAATACATGATCCCGCTGTGTTCTTTCTGGCAAATGGACGATGTCAAGGTTAGGACGATATATAAACATACATATATTATATTACATATAGTTACATAGGTAGCTTTTAGTATGCAGGGAAGACTTGCCTATTGGTTTAGCAAGGGCTGACACATGGTTGCATGTGTCCTAAACATATTAAAACACATTAAAACATCGAACAAACACCTTCAGACCTTCCTGTTAGAAAAGAACATACTTCACACCAATCCATCACTTGGGAGATCAACCTCCGCGATCCCTTCGCCTCCGGTCCCGCCTTCGCTTCGCCCGTGGCCAGGGCGTGCTTGATAGTGCTCTCCGACCTCCGTGTCACCCGGATCACTGCCGGATCACTGCTGAATACTCAAATTTGCTGTGAACAGAATGGAGGCCCAGAGGCCCACGCAAGGCCCATTCTTAACCGCAAGGACGGACTGTCCATCAGTATGGATTGGCCTCAACATGGGGAGAACCCCAAGACAAAGGCCTACGCCCACGGTCAACAGATTTTCAAGTCTCGGTCAATGGTGGCCAAGGGACATGAACTCTCTTTCATGAGTTTCAGAGTTGTCTGTTTCACCTTTATTTGCCATGGTGTCCCACCAATTCCAAAGACCCAACACAGGTACCAAGAATGCTCCAGCAAAAGTGGATATTAGCAATCGCTATTGACATTCATCAGAGCTGGATAGAGTTGGTTTCCCATATCCAACTATAGTTCAATACTCTGAACAATATGTCTCTCCCAAACGCCTGTCTGCAACAAATCGTCAAGTGGCTACGTTAGCTTGGAGCATGGAGTTACTCCATGGTCTGAGCATTGAGTTACGCCACATCCAAGCGGCATGTTTGGACGTCCCTGGAACCAGGATATCCGACGGTGACTGTTGACCACTCACCGAATGACACCCAAAGAAATGCGAAAGACCGGTTCTGCATCTCTGACGAGCTTACTAATCAAGAGGCAACAACTTTGCGGCAACAATACCTGTTCAGATTTAATTCGACGACTGTTCGATGACAGAAAGTTAATGTGTAGAGGGATAAACATCTGAGTCTTTTGAGCAACATGGCAGCCAGCTGTCACATGCTCCCAGTTGTCGCATCTCGCGGCGGCGGCCGCGGCTGCGGCTGGGCACCCGGGCCGACCAAAGTTCTCGCAAAGGGCCTGGGAACGACAAGTGCATCCACTATTATATCGTTCTACTATGTTCTACTACCTTTAGCAGCTCTCATCATCTTGTACATCCCCAGATGATTATATTGTGCATATCCAACGAAGTACCAGATTGAATCAACTGGAGATCCCCAAAGCAGGGGATCAAAGACGGGACTACCAGTATGGACCACGTTCCAGGGGACCGGTGGTTGAGGAATACATTCCAAAACACCGTGCGTTTCGCCGCGGGTCACATCTGTGAGCCATCGCGCACATGCATCGTGACGGCTACCACCCACGCGAAAGTTGCGCAATAGAAGTGCCTGTGCTTCTTCCATGGACGTAATGCCTTGTTCTGGCACGCAACTGCGCAGAAGCTGCAGCAATGCATCATCAGGCAGGTGGACGTTAGGCACTAGGATTTCTATGGCTGCGATCCAGTCTCGCTGGTGCATGACTGTCTCAAACGACGTCGCGTGAGTTGTAAGTCCAAAAGCATGTTGCAAACAAGGGCTGTCGTGGACTGTGTTGGGGGTTCGCCTGAAACTGTGATACCAACCAACACATCCAAACACATCTATGGCAATCGCTTCTCCCAAGACTTCGGCGACTGTTCGTTGCTCTTCCAAAAGGCAATGATCTTCCCATTGATCTCATTAAATATATAGTAACAAGAGGGCATCGCTACGAACAGAGCAAGAAGCTCGACATCGAAAAAGGACACCGTTGCATCCAACAGGTCTTGAAACACTGCGCCCCATCCCCGACAGGAAAGAACGCTACTAGGGGCTCCTGGCCGTACTACTAGGAACAAGAAGCTAGGGGCTCCTGGCATCGCTACTAGGAGCAAGGACGCTACTAGGGGCTCCTCCCCTCTTCCGCCGATGAGCGGAGCGGCAGCCCCGTGCACGGCCTTGATGATGATGGAGTCGCCCACGCCGAGTTCCGCGGCCTCATAGTCAGGCGCCACCTGCGAGGCGTGCAACTGGTCTATACGAGAATTACAAACATTATAAGATTATAAGGTCTGTTATAATTTATTATATATAACATAATACATGGTCTCTGAGACCATATAGTATAACTTGTTTTTTTAGGGTCTGTTGGAGGCAAAAAGGTCTGGATCAAGCTGAGGAACTGAGGAGAGGCGTCCAGAATATCCTCACGCAGTATCCTCACGCAGCATGCGACCTGCAACCTCAACCAAGCAGTCCATTTTACATCAATGATCATCAATGTACACATCCTGATGAAACAGAAACTGAACAAACTGTTTGGGGTCAACATGGGTCAATGGTTTATGGAGACGAAGCTTGCCAACGCAACGAACATAACTTCATGTAACTTCCCTTGAATGAAGCTTTGCCGTTGTTCAGGTGTTCATGCTTTGTCAACGCAACGTCGGTGTCGCGCCGATGGCGATGCCGTGGCGTCTCCCATGGCGTCGCGGCCCGTGTCGATGGAAAAGGGCCTTGTTGATCAGGATGTAAATGGAAGCGATCAAATCCTGACAAAAACACGAGAAGACCAGGTCGGCCACATCGTGAAAAAACTGGGACACATGCGCATCCGGACATAACCGGACAGATCTGAGATGGAACCTCAAAACGGCCTGTTGGGTGGAATGAAACGAAAGAAGATCGACCTTCCGTCTGGTGGCGGGAAGGAAAAGAAGCTACCGGAGGGTATATGTCGGAGTGAAGGTCTGAAAGAAAACCACTACAGTCACTACGAAGTCACTGTAGTGTTTTTCGGAACTTTGACCCTTCACACATCCCGGAGTAAGCCTTGGCTGATGAAAAGCCTTAAATCAAATCTCAACACCAGCCAGGGCTGGAATCTCCACTTCAAAGACATCTCTCACTCTCACTCAGCTGTTCATCTTTATGTTGAGGGGTAAGTCCCGCAGTCCATCTTCTCTGACATTGTGGGGGAAAGCTTCAATGTCCGGTCAAGGTTTTCCACCTCCTCACGTTGCAACAAACAAAACCAATTCTGGAAGGGAAACCACAGTGGATTGTTACAGCATGATAATACTAGCAGATCCCTCACAACACATTGTGAGAAAGTGAGTTGATCTTCCTCATGCACTCATGCACCAAGTTGCAAGACTCTACGCTTCCTTGTACCTGTTCTTGGTTGGTAATTAGCCTCGATTAACCTGCCATCCTTACTAGCATATACACAAGAACAGCCTGCAATGTGACAGGGTCGTTCGGAACTTCTGACCTACCTGCAGGTCCTTCGGACACCCATTGAAACCCGAAACTCCTGACCAACGGAGTCGTCCACTCCCAGCCACCCATACTTCACGGCAGCGCACGTCTTGACCAACGAGACTAGAAGTGGACAATACAACACCACCCAATAGCACTCTAAGGTATATTAACCCCCAAATAGACTGAAAAGTAGATCCCCACTAAAAATGTATTGGACACCGTTTCTATATGATGTTTCATTATGTTTCTATCTATTTGGGGACAACATGGGACCACTATAGTCGACTAGAGTCATTGCTTGGTGCCCACCCTGTCCGCGTATCATCTTCCACCCTTTCACCTCTGGCTTGACGTGGATCAGCAAGCGGAATAAGTTGCTAAGAACGACCTTCGGCAAAGAGCAAACTCGAAGGCATGAAGGAGAAGTTGAACCTTAGATTGATGATCGATCCTTCTAGTAAGAAAACTGATATTTGGTTAAACCACAAACAATACGAACATAGAAACATCAAGTCCAAATTGGTCAGGGAAACCATTGCCCCCCCAATCAGGGTCAGGAGAAGCCACCAACTGAAGAAAGTCACATCGACCCGATCTGGACGTGAAAATGATCGATACTAATTCTTGTTTCTACTAGCTTCTTGTTACTACTAGTAAGGCACTTGGTACTAGAAGCGATGCACTTGCTCCTAGTAGCTTATTGTTTCTACTAGCTTCTGGTTTTGCTTGGCGGATAAATAAGATCAGGCTGAAGACAAAGAGAAGAGAGGTTGGACCCGCTTGTTCCCGCCATTGGCCCTGAAGCAGAGTAGGACTTGTCGGCAGCGCCACATGGCATGTTTTCCATGGTAAAGCAGCGAAAACCTTGACAGCACATAGAGTGACCAGTTGCTGAAACGTGACCACCTCCTCTCACATCATTCTGTGACTATCCAACTGGCCGCTCTTCATCCCTAAGCTTGTGGCTGTCATCCGTTTTCGAGATCCCTGCCCCTTGTTTCTCAGTTCCTGCAACAACGGCTTCGCTACAAAGATTTGTCATCCATGAATTAACATTAATGAAAAAGAAACAAACATATCTTCTCGACAAACCAGTGAATTTTGAGGTTGCACCATGTTGCACCCCAATCTTGCTCCGAGGTTGCAGTGGTGTCAAATGGTGTTGTGGGAACCTACATCAAGCAGTCTGGAACCCTGGTGACCATCTATATATGCTCACTAGAATCGTTTGCACATAACATGTCGATGGCGGATCTCCTCGATTTCCAGCAGAGCAGAGGAGAGCAATGAGAAGCCCACCGCCTTTCCAATTGGAAACCTGACGTGGAAACGACCTTTCATTCAGCGACATTTGTTTGGTGTGTTCTCCCATCTTCACGGATGTTTATGGACGGCTAGGGGTGGGTTCCAGCCTCTCAAATATATCTGGTTTACCTCTGTACATTCTGGATACCAAGTATTACTAGTTTAGCATAGTGTACCAGTACAAACTGCCCCAGGCTCACCGGTGGGCTATCAACCACTTTGGGGTGTCTCGGGTGAGTGGAGTGTCTGACTGCAGCTCAGCTGTGGTGAGTTCACACCTAATCGGTCGCCACCTTGTGGCACGTTCGGTCCGCAAATCCACCATGTGCCTCAAATCGTGATTTAGTATGATTTAGTTCTTTGCATGTGAATTTCTCAGAACCTCCTACAACCTCAGATCGTGAAACCCGACGCCAAAGCTTCTATGCCCAAACGGTTTTCGCACTGAGAAATGATCTCCCCTTCGTTGGGGCACCAATACTTTGGTACTGTGCCAGTGGATCCCAGCGATTCAGTCCAAAGTGTTTTCCCAGCATCTAATAGACCATGAGTGACTAATCATCCGAAACGACATAAAACGATGAAAGACATAATACATGATCATACATGTCAATGCGTCCAGAACCTGCAGACTGCCTGAGAAGAAGCCCAACAAAAAGGCACCACACATCCAACGCCAACGACGATGTTCGGCGACTTTAGGGATGCACGAACGCGCAGTCCCGACCAAGCTGAGCCAACGCGGCTCACTCTCCCTGAGCTTGGGATCAAAGAGGGGCGACGAGAGCTCCTTCAAGCAACCAGCGCCGCTTGGCGACGCGCCGCGACGCGAAAAGGGGGCAGCTGAGCAGCTGGTGAAAACTCACACTGGCTGACTGAACGGTCAGCAAATTTAAAGTTATAAGATGTTATAAGGACAACATGTTAACGTTCTATTTGTAGTTTCATTACATGCAGTTGCCAGTCGTGTTGGTGGTAAACACACCCAAAGCCATGTAAAGTCAACGTTGATTTCAATCAGAACTCATTTGACCCTCCGATCCCCATGAACGAGGACCCCCTCGCAAAGTCAAAAGCTGCAAGGTATCATTTCTCGATCCGGACACCATCCGAACAATCTTCTTGAACTAAGGATGTTGAACTTCCAATAGGCAAATAACATTGCTGAAAGGATGGATCTGCAGGCCTTTTGCTAATCGTAGCCCTCAATGATGAGCATCACCACCGTTTCTGTTCAGAAAAATGCCTCAAAAGGTGACTTCAAATTCAAAGGAAACCACCACGGGACGGAGACGGAAAGCATCGTGGGATTTCGTCTTTTCCTAGGTTGAGACCTCCCAACCCATCCCAACCCATGGGGGTCTCTGCAGTCTCCCCATCCACACCTGAACACTGCTCCTTCTGACCCATCCGAAAACTGCCGACGGTCCGTCTGGCTCCTTGGGGCTTTTGGTCTGCTTGTCACCGCTCCACAAGGACCAGGGCCCTGTCTCACCCACTGGAACGTGGGTGACGACCTTCTCGGTGGGCCTTGAGGCGGCGGTGGGTGATGACCCCGCCAGCGGGGCTTGAGCCAATGGATGGAACTGGTGCCTAACACTGTAGCAATTTTCAACCATTGACCATAAGGACTCGAGCCAAAACAGTTGAACCTCCCGGCACCGTGGCTTTTCCAAACCCTCATCCTCTGAGCTTGGCGGCCCCATGTCGACATCTGTGTCTAGCCTGAGAATGGCACAGTTCGAGGTGGGCTGCTGTGTGGAAGACCTCACAAAAGAGAATTCCTGGAAACAAGAGGCGGCCAATTCCCCTGGTTTTTCGTCTGACAGTACAGGTCTAGCAGGAGATACATCAAAGGGACCACAGGAAAAACATGGAACCAGCCAAAGCGCTGTCTTTGAGTCCTTTCAGACCCATAAACGATATCAAACGATCACTCCCAAGGGGTTGAGACCTAATACTGTTGCTGGAAGAACACACCCTGCACATCAGAACGGGCATCGGGATGGACTCGGACTCGCTGGGGATGTCAACTGTGATGTGGCACCTTTTCGTGCAGGTGCCGCATTTTTCTTGGCCTCCTGCCATATGGAGGAGGCTGAAAAAAGAAATACACAAGCTGAAACAAAAACACACACACACACACATCCCCCCCCAAAAGGTACATCGATACCAACTGTGCATGTGGAGATCCCAAACCGACCACGGGTCGCCGGACTCCCGACTCGGTGACCCGGAGCCCACTGGGCAGGCCCCACTTCGTTGGCGTGATCTGTGGAGGAGCCTTCTCAGTCCGTCGGCGCCTTGGTGGGACGGAGAAAAATGCATGTGGCCCTGGTCCACCATGTGTGTAAGCAATTTCGGGAAAAGGCTTCGCTTTGTACACAATGCCAAGATTTATCGCTTGATATGGGACCCCGGACGCCGAAACCAAAGAATTCACGAATTCATGAATTTGAAAGCCTTGGCTTGAAGCATCATGCCGCATGCATGTTTGGTTATCTTGTGACTTGTGCCCACCTACTCTGCATTGTCTTGTGCGGACATTCGGTTTCACACTCTGTACTCTTGTTTCGTGGATTTTAGTGGATGTTTACCAAGGTTTCCTGGTACCCGGCGAATGCCGAAGGGCCGAATAAACGACGCGTGAGGTCGACAGTGCGCAGGTCTCATCTCATCGGCAGGTCACCCAACGTATCCAGGTTTGACCCAAAGCCATATGGCATCGAAAACACACCAGTGATCATCAGTGTCAAACAAATCCAGTGTCCTAAGCATCAGCTAAACTGGGACACCAAATCAACGGCTGTAAGTTTGAAGTAACTGGGACACCAATATCAATAAATGGCCTGGCATACCCTAACTTAACTTTGAAGTTACAAACACTTGCCGGGTCAAGGGTGATGAGTCATTCGCCGGTTTAAACCGTCTCTTTGGGCACGATGGACAGGTGACGATGTTGCTTGTGACCAAATGTCTGATCACGTCATGCGAAGAACAAAGAGCGCATCTTCAGTTGGTGCTGAGGGGATCAAAGTGGATGCTCCTCGACATCTCGACGCGTTGCTGCCGTTGTCCTCTTCACCAAACAGTCAGTCGGAAGCGTGCATGTTGCGGAGTGCTGTCAGTCCCTTACCACTTATCCCCACCCACTGGGAACCCAAGTCCTCTTGTATTCAAAAAGAGAGCCACAGTCCAAGAATATCAAAGAATACGGTCTTTTGGGGAGGTCCTATGGAGGTCCTCCGTCAGCAAGAACTATATATACAAACTCCCATACCATATCCCTATCATGACAGGAATGTACATGTGGGTTGTATAGAGGTCATGTCAGCAAGAACCACTCAAATCCTTCTCTTTCCTTTCGCCCTCAAAGAGCAGCATCGAGCAGCAAGATTATATTTGTTGACATAGTAGTGCATAGTAGTATCCCTTTGAGACAGGCGTCCCACCTGCTTTCATGACTTCTCCCTTAGTCCCACATGCGTCTTCGACACTTCGGCACTTCAGGCGTCACATCAGCCTCGGGCGTCCCATGCGCTGCACGAGGCGTCAGGCGTCTCAAGCGTCGTCAAGCGTCTTCCACTGTGGATCCACGCAACCGTCTGTGTCATTGAACCCTTAACTCCCTGATCAGGAAAGAGGTATGCAAACACGCGGACAAATCACCGACATTCTCCACATGATCATATCATATTCATATCTTCTCCGTCAAATCATGCACGAGAAGGCCAAGATCATCGAAAATCCCCTTGGACGTGCCAGTCTCACTTTTTCAGTTATCCGGCTTCACTTTCCCAATGTGATTGAAGCCCGTGGTTCCACCCCGAAGCCAAGAGATCTCCACATGAATCAACTGAGTGATGGAATTCGTCCCCAGATTTTGGGATATGCCTCAAAAGCAATGGTCCATCCAGAATCCAAAGTCCCAAGTTGCAGGATCTGTACACTCCAGAAAACTAACATGGAAGTGGAAAACCACCTGTTCGTAGTAGAAAATGGCCTTCCAAGGGGCCATTCTCCACTTCCATGTTAGTTCCAGGGAGTGTAATTCATTCGAGTCAAAGAGGTACAGCTCGCCCTTCCTCTCGCTGCGCTGAGTTTCCAACCGGGCCGCTCTGCTTACTGCGACGGAGAGGCACCGAGCAAGGCATATGCAGGCTATCAGAACGACCCCCCCACCCGATGGGCTTTAGTACATGGTTCCTTTTACTTGTACGATTATTGGGTAGCTATAAGATGCTGTAAGTCTGAATGAATTACTTCTTACTAACTCCTTACACATCAGAAAACATCGAAACCTCAATGAAGGTTGAGCCGTAACTGTAACGCTTACAACCAAGTCGCTATGCAGGGAAGGGATGAGTGGGGGAGGTCTGCAGTTTCATTCACATATGACCTTTCCTTAGGTCTTCCATGCAGAAACCGTGCATAGAAAATTGCCAAATGGTCGGAATCACGGGGCGACAGGAGTCCCTGTCCAAGGCACTCTTGCAGCGGACCGGGACTCAGTGTTTTGCTCACTTGGGCGCTAAGTCTGCGCCTCATCGTGTGGACACCAAAACCATTTCACTGGACCGGACGAGTTCACCAAATCGCTAGAACAAATCCCTTCAAAAGATGATCCCAAAGCCCGTGGTGTGAGGCCCGAAAAAGCTGAATGAAGTCGGGTCAGTCTAAGAAACTGAAGGCCCAAGGATCAACGTGTTCAACATCTTGGAAACCCATGCGATTTACCCACATCCTCCACCTGAACAAATGCCACTCCCAAGTGGGCCCTCCCCACCAATCCATCCGGCAGAACACCCGACACGGCTTCGAAGCTTCGGTAGGTTCTCCGGTCCTCGACTCTGACTCCCTGCCTCTCTGGCGTGTTTTCGCCTTTGACCTTCTTGGGGAAGAAGGCCGCCTCGATGCTACCGCGCTTGGGCGCCATCGAAGCCTGACGAGGGATCACACGGGGAGCTCTGAAGGACGCGCAAGCCTGGTTTTGGCGAGCTATTCGGTCGATGGAGGCAGCTTAGGGTCTGAGGAGTCTGAGGGGTCAACAAAAATATAGGCTCAAAAGGTTGTCTTCCACAAAACAGGGCATGGTCGCAAATGCAATGCCACCACTACAGTGTGGAGGAAGGGTTCTTTGTTCTTTGGAAGTGTGATTGACTCACGTTACTTCACTGATTCACACATGGCTCAGCTATGCTCAGCTTGCCGGCTTTCCTTCGCACCGGGCACAGGTCAAGGCTAAAGGACTAAGTGACTACATTGACTATGTATATATACATATGAAAACACGTTTCCCAGCCCCAACCACCCTTGGGCCACGGCGCCGCGGCTGCGCCAGCCAGAAGCTAAAACCAATGAGCCAAGCTTCGCGACGGAGGACACATCCAATCAGTCAAACAGTGATTTAAACATGCAAACATGCTGGCCACGAAACTGACATATATGTATATAGTATACATAATATCACATGATTATGTTACATCACACTATTAACTTCCACCTTGTGTTTCTGATGGCATCACCGGCCACGCAGGAATCAAACACCCAGAGACCAAAGACCCCAATGACTGCTTTGTTTAACTTCTTGAACATCCATGACGTCACACATATCTATGCCCCACTCATTCCCTCCGGCCTGCCGTTGGTCTAAACAAAAGAACGACTCCTACACTTCAACTAACATATCATGGCGCATGCCTTGCAAAGGAACACCTGTTTCAGGTTCGTGCCCGGGTGATGGGGTCATTTCTGGCGGGTTTCTGGGGGCAGGGCCAACACAAACCGTCGTGGAGGCCTGCTGCTGAGTTTCCGGGGGAGTAGGACCCCCGCTTCGTTCACTTGATCGTGTTCTCAAGTTCTTCGCCCGCGGCCTCAAGGAGCAGGGCCTTAGGCTGACCTGGTCGGTGACGACCGTTGGTGACGTCTTCAAGGCACAGGCAAATGCCCTGCAGTTGTTGGTCACTCCCGCGGTGTGATGTTCAGCTTCAAACAACAAACGCAGATGGGTCGTGGTTCCTGAAGCATTTACAAAGCCTCAGCTTACTGGTGCTGTGGCTATTGATGTTATTGTTTTCCGGACCACTCAGCTTGCTGAGCTTGCTGCAAGTTGCCCTGTGAATTGCCTGTTTGATCTGATCTGATCCGCTATATCAATGTATTGACGCTCTTTTTGCAGCTGCTTGTTGCAGGCTCGCCTGCTCTTTTCCAAGATGCTTTAAAACACTCAAATTGGCCAAGTATACCGTGGAAGGAGCGCCAAACAATGCTAGTTGCAGGAATCTCTTGCCGCAAAACATACGGCTCAGGGAGGCGAGGGGAGTCCGGGGAGAGCATGTCTGATACTCACAAAAAGACTGACTTGACCAATTCAACCAATTTCATGCCCGGTAAACACAGCAGACAAACCGTTTTGCGGACTCTGCTTCTGGTTCCAAAGGCGGCCAATCGATGAACAACGAGGACCTCCCGCCTTCGATGGGAGGACATTTCATGACCTCCAGCCGATGGCAGTGCATTTTGTCCATGGCATGGCTCCACTTCTGTTCAAGCATGTTCAAGCTATTCAGGAAAAAAGGTACCCTGAATAGCTTAAGAGTAGATGGAACTGGCACCCTAAGATGTCTTGGGGTCCAGATAAGCCACTGACCTTGGGGTAACTTGTGCCCTCTCCAATCCAAGAATGGTGGTTTGACGACGGGTTGGACTGTCTCCCACCATGTCTGTTCAAGTTCTGGGCGTTGTCACCGTTCGACTCCGGTGCCGCACACCGACCGACCAAACACCGTCCTCGACAGCATGGTCTCTTCAACAAGTGGTCCATTGGTTGGGGTGTGCCCTGGAGGTGGAGATCCCAACCCAACGGATCTAGATTCAGAGGGGAATTCAGAAATGGGTGGCGAATCTGGGTGAATGCAACCCTCAAAAACCTCCGACCAAGACATCACCAAAACGTCAACCAGTGTTCATCTTTGAAATGATTCGGGCAAGAGACCCCTAAGAACCCCAAACCCCTAAGAAGCCCAAACAGTGTGTCCACACTGTTTGGGGAACCGGAGATGTTCGACCCCGCACCTGGCGATCGGCCCTTGGGCGATCGGCATGGTGTGGCGATCGTCGGCCCAGTGGGTTCTGCGTTGATGTGCTGCATCGGGGGCATCGCCCGCTTTTTTGTGAAAGATCTTCAGTATATCCAAGATCTTGACGCCCCCGAAGGGAAGCAAAAGAGATCTGTTGCGAAATTGGAGAAGCCCGGACAAATCTTTCGACCATCTAAAGCTGTTGGGATGCCCAAAATATGCTCTTCGCGGTTTGATGGTATTAATGCAATAGGCCGTTAGAATGTGGTAACTAGAGGATCATCATCTTGAGAAAGGAATGATGGTTTTCAGAAGCGGGTCTATGGATTGCAGGTTTATGAGTCGCACGTTGTTTCTCTCAAAGGGTCTGTCAGACTGTGGGGTGATCTGCCAAAGCTCCAGAGTCAGCAACATGTTCTTTGCTTTATGGGTTTTGATGGCATGATTTATGGGAGACAAAGAATTTCAAAGAGTATCAACTGATCCCGGTCACCAAATTGGCTGGGAGTGTACCTGCTTGAGTCATCTTCAGTGATGTCGCAGGTGCATGCAGTGCCCCGATGTTTTCTTCTCTTCTTCTTCGCTTCGTCATTGCGGCGCGCAACTGTGCATGGAAAGTACGGAGGGAGGGACTGGGGAATAGGGATAAAGAAAGCAGAATCTGTTTTTGCACACTCTTTTCAACACACAAAAGTGGCAAATGGACGATGACGACCGTGTGCCTCTCACTTGTTCTTGGTTGTTCGTCATTTCGAGCAATGGGACACAGATTATACAGGAGATACAGGTGGCTATTGAATCTTTGGCCCCATGAGCCTTGGTAAACAAACATCTCTACTATACGACAACGACTACAACACTTTTCTCCCCAAACGGACATTTCATGATGCTTTCATGATGCTACAGTACGCCGGCTACGCACAGGAAATGCGCCCAGGAATTCCCATCTCCAACCCAATCAGCCACTAAGTTGATTGCAATGGATCCATGAGTCAGGGCTTGGACACTTCAAAAAACCAACAAAATAGCTCCGCTCCATTGGGAAACGCCGTCAGGGTCTCCATGGGAGTCAAAGCAGTGATCTGAAACGTTCGGTGTCGCGCTTCGGAGCCGAGAACAAACCGAAGGGGCTCAACGGCGCTATGAGAATCAACGGCTTCTACCATCTTCTACCCTCTTCAGTTGGTGTTTGGCATCCCTGATCCCGGTTTCGATGTTGGAGATCGATGTTGCAGAACTCACAATAACTGACCCACACCTTTTCGGGCACCCATGTTGGGGTGCAGAACCTGCCACTCGGATAAAACACCATACATATCGTAAATGCTCCCCCCGGCCGGCTCCCACTTCGAACACTCCACTCGAACAAATCTGCCCATGAGGCAAATGACGATGGATCCCCAGAACGCGCTTGACATCCCTGATATTTGATCCCGATGAATGAAGCCCCCACCCACAGCCAACTCCAATGCTTCACAACGTCCAAACATAGCCCAGACGCTCCATGTATGCTATATGCCTACATTGACCCCTCAAACCACCCCAATGTAGGCATATATACCATACATCGAGCGTTTGGGTAGGGGTTTGGGTTGAACATATGTGCCCTTAAACCCTAAACCCCTCGTCGAGTCGAGTGCCGGAAATTAACCACCCTTTGGTCTCAATCTTCGCTCGCCGGCGCTTCCAAAGACCCAAGCGCTTGGCCTCGCTTTTCTGCCGTACTGAACCGAAGAACGGCAGGTGGTGCGTGGCAGGTGGTGCGTGGCATCTGGGGTGGGTTGAACACCTGGAAGGAAGGAATCCCACTATCGTCGGCAGGGACGAGGGGGAATGCAAGCTCCAATTTCTTGGTTGGAACAATTGGTTCCCTGAAACATGGATGCTATGAAAATCAGATTTGGATGGTGGTTCAGAATATATTTGGGGTCTAGCACTAGCGAAATATTGGTTGTTTAGTATGACCAATTGAGATCTATGAATCTAATTCTATAGCATCTTTTGATCACCATTCTACAAAGTGGTGACATTCAAGTTCCAAACACACCTGGATTCTCTTCTGACTCCCAAAGCAGTTTCTCCATAAATCAATGGTTGAACAAATTGTCATCCCCTTCAACATTTGTAAGCCACCAATCCTTGCACCCGAGCGCTGCGTTCTGGGCCGGACCTGTAGCCAAGGGGCAGTAGACGGACAAGTTGTCAGAGAAGTTCTTTCCGGTCTTTGGACAAATGGAGGGATGTTCCTGGCACGTTTGGGCACAGGTTTCCGGCCGAAAGGGGATGGTCGTCCAGTGGTCCAGGCTGAAGGTTATATGAAGAATGCATATACCAGTATGATACAGTATGCATACAAATGGTTAAAGTTATTGCAATACATATATATATATATATCCGGTTGTGCTGCAAAATGATCCGGTTGTGCTTGGCACAGAGACACAAAACAGCTCTCACTTGTTCAGACCTCCAGAACGACAAAATCATACCCGTGACAACAATTGTGGACCTTGGGTCCTAGAGGCCTTATTGTATCTTAGGTCTAAAAAAAGCCAGCCGTGCAAGATCAAAGGTACATACCTTGAAGTATAGGTAAGTGGTTTGCAACCAAAGGAATTCGGTTCACTGCAATGCCTGGGTTTGAAGGTAGACAAATACTTGCAGCAGCGAAAGTACACAACAAAGGAAACATGACTCCCGCATGTGAGGCTGGACCTACAGCTCAACCCACAGAGTCAGCGAATCTCACCCATGTGCAAATCACAAAGAGACCTAATATGATATATAAATATAATATATATAATAGTCCTTCCAACCTTCCGACCTTCAAATGACATGATTGACATGCTGAGCTTTTGTTGCGTCGAACAAAGTCAGCGTCCCTTCTCAGGTCGTCCGGTCGTGCGAGGTGAAGTGTACGGTCGTCGTCCTTGCAGGTGAAGTGTACGCAGGTCTCGTTGGGGTAGGCAACAAAGGCCTTTCCCACATTGTCCTGAAGAAGACCACGCACATGTTTGAAGGCACGAACCATGCTACACAAAGCAAATCAGGAAGGTGGGGCTGGGTCAAAAGCTGGAGCCCGACCAGTCCACCATGTAGCGAACTAGGTCAACCAAGGTATTCAACCAACCACAGCCAACAGGTGGTCACCCAGCCCCGGTCAACCAAGGTATTCAACCGACCAGCCACACATCAACCATGTATCATAACCGGTGCCACCCACAGCGCCATCGTCCCAAGGACGGACCTTTGGACGAGTCGACGAGTTCGGCGGAACCGGTGGATCGACGGAACAGCGAGCGCTGTTGGCAAAGCAAACGACCTTGGACGTGGTAAACCAGGAGTCAATGATGTTCAATATGAATTGTTGTCTCCACTCCGATTTCAGCCGAAAAGAACATGGGACCCAAAGAAACGGCACGGATTCCTATTTCAGCACACCACAATCTGTGCGGATCTGGGTGGACCGGTAGGAACCGGTCCTTTTGGTGTCGACCCGGTTCTTGACCGCGGTGGGTGGGAAGCGGACCCCGTCCTTGTCCACGAAGCGCTTGTTGCAGACTGGGCAACATCGGTCCACGGTGATGTTCACCTTTCGTTTCGTGTGGAGACCGGAGACGAGGCGTTCGCCCAGCGGTCCGCTCGTCAGGGTTGGTCTTTTTCGGTCGACGGTCGACGCGTCGACCAGGTCGTTCGACTCGTTTCAGGTCGTTCCATGTTCCACTCGTCTGAAAAGCCTTTTGATCTCCCGAAAATCCCTTTTGCGTCTGAAACAACCGTCCTTCCCGGGATTTGAAGAAAACAAAGGAACACCGGGTCTTCGAAAAGTGTAAAAAGAGTAAACAATAAGAGTTCCAGTTTTCTTATGTGCTTCCGATGGGTCAAAAGCATGGGTTGTAAGTTGGGCATGACACCAGCTCTTGGACTTTATGGAAAAAACGACTCGTGGCTTTGGTTGGTAGGAAAACCATGGAAAACCCAGTCCTGCACAGGTGATGCCAAAGAGGCAACCCCACAACAGTCAGGCATTAACAAATTCATTCTTGGAAGACTCTGAACAAGGCGATCACACTGGCCAAAAGCGCCGTGCACCCCGCCTTTCTCATGCGTTCCTTGGCCCAAGCACTAAAGGTCTTCAAGTATGCCATCGAGCTGAGATTTTCTTCCAGCATACCTGGGGGCCATGCAACTCTGAGAAGTCATCGCTCAGCATCACTTCAGCATCCACATACAACTCTTAAGTCTTCCGGACCGTGGCCCGTCCACACCCACCTGAATTATCGGATCGTGCAAACCAACCATCTTCTATCCTCTTCTCAATGGATCTGTGCCTTGGCGGTACAACCCTATCAACACAACACACACACACACACCAAATAATTAATGACCTTGAGCCCACACCAGGTTCCGTGGTTTCAGAGTAGATGACACTGGCACAAGTCCTCGATGGGGGTCCACACATTGGGATGGTGCCATCGAACCTCTGAATCCACCGTACATTCTTCTGGATGACCCGTTGAATTCGTATTCCAACTGGACGGACCATCAACACCATGTGCCCATTGTGCCCAGCTTGCTGCAGGATGCTGCAGGCGTACGGATCTACTGATCTACTGTATTTGCACATCCAATGCCCTTTCCCAAGATCTGAGAACATCGAACACAAGACGTTCCCAGGTGGGAAATGACGTTCCTATACGAGATCCTAACTCCAAGTGTCTCAAATCGACAGGAACCCCAACTCCTTCCGGTTCGTAGAAAGTCGTCTTTTTTTCGGTTCCCTCACGTTGAGACCTGTCCAGCACTATAGACAAGACATACCACGGTGTACGTACTGCCAAGCCTGGTTCTACCGGGTTCATTCGGCAACTACTTGACTTTGACAATTTGTGGTATAAAGTGGTATAGATCTTTTGAGGTGTTCTACTTGACTTGCGATCTCCCGGGCGCCCCCACTGGCTCGCTGCTGGTGCAAGCAAATGCGTGCACATTGGCTGAGGTACTCAGCCACACCCTGGCAGAGGTTTTTGCGGCTCAGCTCGAAGAATGATGCCCAACAATTTGTCCAGGGCTGCGATCATGGGATGCACAAGCCGAAATCTGAATGACAAATTCAAATGACACCAAATGACATCCAATGACACATCGGGGTGCACAAATCCTCCCAGATCAAACTGACATCGAAACATCGTCAAATAGATGAGTGCCTCCAAGGTCCAGTGTGAAGGCAACAAGCCCAGCACCTGAAGGGAGGGGGAAAGCGCAGGACTTCGCTCATGACGGCAAACCTCTGGAAAAAAAAAAAAAAAACAAAGAAACATGATGCCAAACCTACAAATCGCTGGCCGGGCATTGCAGAAACCGACACCGCTGTGCTTTACATCAAGACTGGAGTGATTCGTACTATTTTTGACCAAGCTGAGCCGCGGTCGCCGTGGTCGGTCGTGGTGGTTTTGAACATATTTGGTATATTTTCCCCAAACAACCGGTGGTTTCAGTGGTCCAGGTTGCATAGAACACGGCATGAATCGTAACTGGACACCACTGGACACCTGTCATCTCCTGTAACCTCCGTTCCGTGCGGGTCAGTTCACTCTGCCCAATCCCAGTGATCCCAGCACAAAACATCTTAAAAGATCTTAAGCCACAGCTAATCAAAATTGGCAAGTGATGAAGGAGGCCAAAATATATCTGACACAGAGACTCCGAATGCGGTCTGTCGTTTTTTCGTTTGTCTGTCGCAGGTGTGGTCTCTGAGGTACGTGAGTCCTCTGAGTTGGGAATCATGTTGACTCTTTCATAAGCCCAGCAGCTTTTTTGTACACTGAACACAACCATGTCCTCAGGCGTTACAGTGTCGATAAGTCCCTCATTTCATCACGGCGGTTAGAAAAATGTATAAAACACAAAAACACCATCAGTCCTTCTGTGTCTTGTTCCGGGACATCTACGTCTACCCCGTGACCCGTTGGGCTCGCGCTCCATGACCCGTGACGCCCACCTCGTTGGGTGGCACATCTCGATGCCCGGCGTAGCCCATCAGCAGCGCGAGGACTGCGTCTCGGTATTCCACACTCACCTGTCTCGCGTACGCTTCCGGCGTACGCGGGAACCGTGGTGGCAGAACCGCGGAACCGTGTGGCGGCTTCCTGGTGGTGAAGCACCACGCAGAACATGCAGAAACGCACAGAACATTCAAAGGCTTCAAAGGGTCTTTGATGGTCAAATGGGATCATTGCTGCCAATGGCACAGCTGTGGATTGATGATGATATCAAGAACTAAAATGAACTAAAATGACCATTCTTGGCTGTGAGAAGGGAGTAACCGCACAACTTCTTCACCATCTTCATTGAAACAATTTGGGGGCCATGGTGAAACCGGCAGGGTGTGTACTCTGCGTGGTCAACGAGCATCCGGGAATGACCAAAACCGTTTCACCTGGGACGAAACCCATACAGACCGGACCAACTGAGGCACGACCGGTCGACCCTTCGACCACCTTCTTGTAGCTCTCTGGCTTCTCTGCCGCGGTCTCATGAGCCTCCAGCCTGATCACCGTGAGCGACCGAGATCTCGACCCGGTTCCGCGTCATGTGACGTCCAGGTGACGTCCAGGTGAAGAAATCCACAGGACGGAACATTGAAAAGGAATACCATGCAGACTGATGATGGTTGTCTCACCTTCCCGGAAGGGTCCTTGGTGAATCAATCTAGCTGGGCCAAGTCCAAAACGCCAAGCCCAAAAAGTCGTGCATCCGTGCATCCACCGAGATCATTTTCGGTGGCCAGGTCATCCATCTCACGCGAATCAGATGACTGGACCTCTCTGGAAATCCAGCGATCGATCTGGATCGACTGGGAACCGCGGCAGGATCTTCAGCAAAAGCATCAGTGGACGTGTGCGCACCGTCGCTTCCACCTGGTTGTGGCGTGCGGATCGAAGAAAATCGACACGGAAAGAGGATCAGGTGGCATTGCAAATTATTCACACACACACACAGTTGTTGTTGAATGATTCGCCATACTGTATGTGTGTCTCGTGAAAAGAAAACAACAACATCATACACTGTATTGAAAAAGCAAATTCATTGCAAATCATTCACACACACACATGTTTGTGTGTTGGCTTTTTCATGCTTTTTCAATATGTTTCATCTAATCTAAAATCAGGGTCCACACTACTGTTGAAATCTGTTGAACAACCTGGACTCCAACAGAGGAATGTCATAAAGAACGCGCACAGTTGCTTGCTCCATCTTGCTCCTATCTTTGAGTTAAAAAGTCAAAACCAACTTCAGGCTCAAATGTCAACGGGTCAGCCAACATGGTCTTGTTTTCAGAAACTTCATGCAGCATGAAGACACCGTCCCTCTCTGTTGAACCAACATGGTGATCAATTTAAACAGCACCAAAACAGGCCGTGAAGTGAACTCTCAGGGCAAACAGCACAGACACCTGAAAAAAAAACAACAACAGCCAGGGGTCGGTCCATCAGTCTATCAATCTATTGAAATACACACCCACATGTGTTTCCAAACCTATTTTATTGTTTGTTTGTTTGTTTCAGGCACGCTCGCCGATGGCTCTCCCGCGGCATCCGGCTAAGGACAAGACGATGCTCGGATCCTGGCAAGCAGAGAGGAGTGCTGAGCAGTGTATTCAAGACGAAAAAACGATTTCCCAACACGAAACTCAAACAATTGAACATCAATTACAGTAGATTCTAAAGCAAGCACGGTGGTCGAAGTCGCAGTGAACATATCTGCTAACAACGTCTCTTGTGACTCGTGACGGATCCTGCGAACAAACTCGGTCGGCACTTCCGGGCTTCTTTGGCCTGGCAGGCTAAGACCGGATACCAAGATCGACCCCCAAGAAAGACACTCTTGAGTCTTCAGCTACTGATTCTTACAAGAAATCCTCAACCGGAGAATCATATGAGATGTCTTTACTTGCTTTGTTGCAGGGTAACTGCCATAAAATGCAGCTTGCATTGGTCTTGCTCAAAAAACATGTGCCTCTTGAATCAAAGGTTCATTGTCCCGCCTCTTGTCCTTCTTGAACTCCAAGGATGCTCTGAACATCCCAGGTTACTTTGACACCGTTCACGCTGTGAACAGCCACGAACATTGCACCCTCAATCTATGGCCAATCAACAAATCGCAAACCCACATCAATCATATAGGACGCCCATTTCAAGGCTGCCCCGGTATGTTTTCCAATCGGTCCATCTTCGCCGCTTCGCCGCCTTCACCCCGTCCCACCGCCCAACCACTGTCCAACCCCGTCGCGAACGGCGTGTGGCCACCCCGCCCGAAGACCACCGGCCGAGCCCAAGGAGGCAGCTCAGCACTGAAGACAGAGAGACCCTGAACGACGAAATCTTCAGCCGTTTTTCACGGTGGACCGGTGGCGGACCGGTCGACTGGGATAGGTCAAGACAGCGAACTGAAGAAGTTTGGAGGGAAAATGAAATGCTTTGATGTGCTTTGGAGATGTTCCGAAAAGGGGGTTGAATATGGCACCGGGAGTGGTTGGGGAGGCCTCTCATAGCTGGATCAATTGCATTTTGAAACATATTTTCCACAGAGATGCACTCGAGGTCGGCCAATTCTGGGATTGATGAAAGTAGAGTGGGATGTTCTAAAGACTTCCAAACGCAGTTCTCAGAGTCCTTGAACAAATCTAACACGGTGCTTCCGGGCGCTGCGCCGCGGCGCGCCACTGCGCCTGAGTCGACTCCTGCGCTTCCCTGGCGGTTGACACGGCGGAGAGCTCCATAGGATCAGGATGTAATCGAAAGAAACGCCAAAAAGGGATAGGAGAGCGCATTAGTCATCTTTGGAGAGCTTTGTTTGGGGAATTGCATCCTGGTGATAGGAGAGCACCAGGTACATGCTTCTACTCTAGGCTTCCACACCCATTGGTAATAGTCTTTGCTGATGAACCATGGCTAGGGACTTGGACAGGAAAAGGAAGATACAGTATAGCAAAATTCTGAGTGGAGCAAATCAACATTTGATTTACATTCGGTCATTCGGAATGTAAACATGTCCAAGATATGAACAACCTTAATGTTCCAATTTGATTCGGGATTTAGTCCATGTTCTACTCCAGGTCCATCGATTATGGTACCAACAGAGTGTGCACACTTGTCGCTCAAGAGCCAGTGTGCCAGACCAAGCACGATCAAGCTTTTGTGCCCCCATAGCTTCGACAAAGAAACGACAAAGAAACTTCAAACATCCACTGTAGCCATGCCATTACAATTAATTGTCCTTCCCCACTGGAATTTGCAAGCAAGTGTCAAGTTAAACTTAAACAACTACAAGCCAACATTATCATTCCCCAAGACCCTTGAACAACTTTTAAAGAAGTCTGAAAAAGAAAACTCATGCTTTCATTAAAAGTGTGCCTACGCAAGACTGCCTACGCAAGTCTTTCAACACCCACCTACGCAAAATGCTTACACGACGCCTACGCCCCAAGCAGAACAGCCTCTGCAACTTCTCAACAGTTCCCTTTTTTGTATAAACCTAATCATTTGCAAAAAAAACGTGGCGAATACAGATAAATACAGTAATTCACCTCGGCTGAGATCCATTGTGGCCACCACCTCTCCCATACCCTTTCAACCGGCATCGACGGCGCAACCTCCGCATGAGCAAACGGCAATAGATCTCTGCACGGCCCAAGTCGTTAAGGTCCAAGGCCAAAATGCGCCTTCACGGATTTGCCATTGTGATGAAGCGGATGATTAAGCCAATCCCTTGCTTCGTCAATTATATATATATATATTTATATATACGGATCTCAGGGCAACTCCTGATCAAGGAATTCCATGATAGGCTGTTTCTCTCGCTGAGGTTATGCCGGGACCAAGAACTACGAAAGACTACGAGTTCATTGGAGTTCAAGAGCTAGAAATATATTTGATGATCAGTTGATTGATGTTGATTGCTTCCACACAACTTAAAGACTGCCCTCACTGAGTGCTCCCTCTGAAGAACCCCCTCGGCTTCGGACAAGGCTTCATAGTGGCGCTTCTCTCGGCTGCAAAGAACCACCAGCTCCTTCTTCGCTTCGGAACGTACGAGTAACAAGGACGCTATTAGGTGGAGGCAAGTAGGTTGGAGGCCATCGCTACGAACGGAGCGATCGGACGCTACGAACGTAGCTCCTGGCATTACTACTAACAAGAAGCTACTCGATCCGATCCAAAGAGTCCCCGGATGACGGTCACTTGAGTCCGGTGACCGCACGGCTAGGGGCGATGTCTCGTCCATTCCGGTGATCTTCAGTGGGTAGGAAGTCGGATCCGGTAAGGAAGAAAGCGGCTAGAAGCTGATCTTGGACCTTCATGTTTGAGGTACGAAATGACCAGTGTGATACCAAGTGTCAGGATTCTGAGATGCCCCAAACCAAAACTACTACCAGTACAGTATAGGATGGAAGCCCTGAAGCCAGAAAACTTCAGGTTACGCTTCAATGATGCGGAACATCTCTGGTTCAAAACGCTTGAACACTCGCGGAACCTCTGGAGGCGCTTTTGAGCGAGACGCCTTGAGGGTCTTGGAATGGTCAACACCATGTGAGCATGTTACTCAACGTCCTCCACTGTCGCAAAACTATGAAACTGACGCTGATGTCTGGCTAATCCTCATCGTTGTTTAAATGTGCATTCAGGACGTGAAGGATGGCGGGAATCTCAAACAAGGATCGCGTCATGACACCAAAAGAATCAAAGGAAGGGCGCCACCCATCAAGGTCTAATCAATCAATAGTGCATGCTGCATGCATGCATTTACAATCATGACTCATGCCATACACTCATGACTCATGTGGCACTTCCTCATTCCTTGCGTCATCCCTTCGTTTCTCTTGCCGCTTGGCATCCCGTCGATCCCGCCTCATGGAGCTCCAGCGCCTCCAAGCGCGGCAAGAGCTCTGCGGTTGGCTCCCCCTCGGCCTCTTCCAGGAACCTTCCGCAGATTGGAGGTACCAGAGAAGTGAAGTGATATTCACCATTCAACATCTGCCAATTGTTTTAAGAAGATTTGTTAAAATCACATCCATCGGCCAAATCGAACCGGACGTCGGCATCTATCTCTCTCGCCCCAAAGGTCGCCCGGTGGGTGCACCCGTCACCTTTTGATCGCACAGCAACGGATTTCGACAATGGATTTCTTGGTCCATATTGGGAGTGACACGGATTTCGCCGCGGCGGTGACACGGAGTGCACTACGGTGGCCAAAAATGGGATTCGGTGGCCGGAGACGTTCGGTGGCCTCACGGAACCTGTCTTGAGGCCTTGACCTCTTTGCTGCAAAACTGGCTCAGGCCATTGACGATGCGTGCTTCTTGCACACTGGGACGGCGCCGAGCAGTCCGTCCTTTGCTGGCCTCCTTGGCAGCCTCCTTCAAGGTGTCAACGAGCTTCTGGCTGCTCTGCACGACTTCATAGGGCTTTTGCCCCTCTAAGGACTCTTTGAGAGGATCGGCCTTGTAATCGAGCAACAGGCCGCAGGTGGCTGCCTGGTCGTTCCTGGCTGCTAAGATGAGAGGTGTCTCTGTTGGTGCAGCACTGAAATTGGGATCTGCCTTGAAATCCAGCAAACTTCCGGAAATCGTGATGTGACCACCTTCAATGCTTGCATGCAGTGCGGTGTGTCCACTCATGGAGGTTTGATGGACATCCGCCTTCGCCTTGAGCAGATGTGTGACCGTAGCATCATGGCCCTCCCTGGCTGCAACGAACAAAGGCGTCCGCCCATCAGCGGAAGGCGCGTTCAGGTCGCAGTTGAGGCTAATGAGAACCTTCAGGGTGTGCAATGAACCCTTCATTGCTGCTGCATGCAGTGGCCGGAAGCCATAGGCAGTGCAGCTCTCCTGGAACTCAGGATGCTCTGAGGCGATTTTCCTCAAGGTCTTTTCATCATTCATCATTGCTGCTGCTGCCATTGCTCCCGCTATGAACCTGTGCTGAAGGCGGCCATTCACAGCTGTGTAAGCAACGGAATCCGTTGGAGGCTTCAGCCTGTCCCAACTGTCTGCAGGGGTACTGGCCAAGAAGTGCAAAATACGCTTCCTGTCCGCCTCCAGTGTAGCTTCTGACTTCTGCACAGCTGTCCGATAGCCCTTCAAAGACAGATCCATTGGGAAAATGGCCCCAAAGGGCTCACGGAGGACCTCCTCGGAGGTGCCATCACCGGTATCTGCCAGCATGGCTGCCTTTTTAAGTGGTTCATTCCAGGCAACTATGTCAGTGAGATGCGTGGTGCTTTTGTCCAGTTGCATGTCAAGGCTCAAGGCCAGCTCCAATAGGCACCAAGAACGACCAGTCGCCCGGCCTTTCCCATCCAGCAAAACAACGGTGCCCTTGCAGCTTTTGCTGATCAGCACCTTGCAGAAAGGGCTTTGCTCGAAGTCCTGGGGCATTGGGAAGTTCGTCACTTCTTCGCCATGTAAAGACCTTGCAAAGGCATCCATCCACCAAGCGGTCTCGCCCCCCGTCTCCCGCTGCTCTTGGTGAAACTTCAGCATGGACACCTGGAGGCACCACAGAATCAACGAAGAGTAGCGTCCTTGCTCCTAGTAGCGATGCCCTTTGCTCCTAGTAGCGTTCTTGTTCCTAGTAGTAAGGCCAGGAGCCCCTAGTAGCTTCTCCCTTTGCTCCTAGTGGACCATGGATGAACATGTTTTTTTTAGAAATTCACACGTGTCCGAGCCACACAAACACACACCCACACCGTGGGTCGACCGGAAAACACCTGAGGCTTACAGTAAATTATGTTTGGTTCACTAGAAAGCTTCCGGAACATCCCAGAAAAGAACATTTCACCAGTAAAATCCAGGGCACTGTTTGTGAGAGTGGCGTGCCCCACCAGTGGCTGATGAACCACTGAGGCACTTGTGGTTTTTCTGCGATCAGCTCCACGAAGGAGCATTGGAAGCGGATCGTCAAGGGCTGCAAGAAGTGCTTGCTACATTGGTACATGTCAATTGTTATCCAAGTCAAGCAGTCACCTCCTTCAGCCACTCTACTGGGCCCGGAAGCGGAATCGCTTTGAAGAGGACATTTCTCCAGCACCTCCTTGATGAGCTTGGCTAAGGCAAACAACTGATGGAGAAAAAGCCCTCGCTCGTCACCCCTTGGGAGGGTGGAAGACCGTCTTTCGTAGGCCTCGGGCAAGGGCACCGTCTCGACCCAAGGGATGAAATCAGAGACCTTCTCCGGCTTCGGTCTTTGAAAACCTGTGATGTAGTCCACAAACTCCTCGAAATCTAATGATCCGTTACCATCTTGATCCATGGTGTCGAAAAGCAAGGTCAACTCATCCTCAGTGATCTCGGGGTTTCCTTTGCGCAAGAGCTCCGCCATCTCCTCCCGACTCAACTTCCCATCGCTGTTCTCGTCCACCTTAAAGAACTCCTCCTTACACCTCTCTGCGGTGACCTGCTCTCTGCTCTTGGACTTTTGGAGCTTGCCGGCACTCATGGAGTTCAAATACTTGGCGAACTCTTTGAAGTCCACGGTGAGATCGCCATTCGTATCAATCTCCCGAAACAGAAGCGCCAACTCCTTGTCCGTGAGCTCTGGGTTGCCCTCGCGCAGCACTAGTGACATCTCCGTGAAACTCAACAGGCCACTGTCATCCTTGTCTGCACTGTGAAACAAAGCTTGCAACTCCCTTTTTCGCGCCTGACTAAGACCTCGCTTTGGTGGCATGGCGCAAAAGAAGCTTTCACATTCCCTTGAACTCCTTTGGAGCCAAAGGCTTGAGCCACATGAACCATATATATATATACATACTATTATATACTCAAATACTCGATCTTGATGAAACACGTCTCCAAGCCCCAAGCTCAATTAAAGCGTTGTGCACTCAAAGAGTTCTCCAAATCTTTTCTCGGCAGTCTCATCTCACCTTGTCTCACTCAATCTGTTCAAATCGAAATCCCTTGCTTCAACTTGCTTCTCACACAAACAAACCCAATCATTTCTGAAATAAACAGAAACAAGAAACAGACTTCTCTCAAACGCTCAGACTTGCTCATCAGCAGTTTGGCCTCAGAAGCTTGGCTCGACTGGGCGTCATTCGATTGGCGCCCGGCAATGACAGCTCCTCTGCGCGGTCGCGCGACCCGCCGTGCGGTCGCCGCGGAAGTGCGCCGAAGCCGGGGCGGGAGCGCAACATCAGTGCACGAAATGGGATCCAAAAACATGGAACAAAGGAAGGAAATAGGCTCCCCACGCCTCACCCTATCTGTATGAACTTTGTCCGCTGACAAAGTGTATCACGTCAATGCTGGTGGGGCTGAATCTCACATCTACAAAGTGTGGACACTGCTGATTTCTCAAAATCTGGCAACTAACTTGCGAATACTGATGGACAGTCACCACTTGGGCAAGAATTCAACGCTCAATCTTCCAGGTCTGCAAGCTAAAGCATGATACACTGACATGTATTGTACTCCTCTTTTCAAGGGGCCGGCACCTCACCCATGAACGCAACACTCTCGTCCTCTTCCACCTTGGCCACATATGCCAAGCCCAGCTGGGCACAGTGTCGGGGCTCGGCCTGGAGCGTCAGACGGTCTATAAATTGAATGTAATTAGGTTGATTTTGAAGTAATGACAGAATGACAAACATATATATATATATATATTATATCTATAATATCTGGAATCTGGTTGGAGACCACTCGACCTACATTGATCCTGAAACCACCCCAATGTAAATACACATGCACTACATGGGGTGTTATGGAATGGTTGTAGTTGTAGGTCATGGCAGGTTGCTGGACCTATTTGAGTCCCCCTTTCTAGTCGCAACCTTTGCAGCAAAGTCAACCTTCATTTCTTCTAGTACCCTGGATGTTGGGTCTTGAGTGGTACACACATTTCAGAACATGAGACGATTAGGGATGCTTCCCGAAATGTTTGAAAAACTCCTTGCTGCATGGGAAACTCCTAGCTGACCGGACGAACCGGACTGTATTTCAACTTTGACCGTGCCGAAAAACTTGCATGGGAAAATGGACAATGACACTGGTCAGAAAGTCAACTCACAAGATGTATTGGGAAGCGGATCAGAATGGTTAGATTATGTTAGAAAGTTTCTGTCACGAAATCAACCCGCACAGTTGAACTCATTTCTTCCCTGTATGAGTTATGCAGTTACACCATGTTACACCAAGCAAACAAATGGTTGCCTGATCTGAATCTCAAATGCATGCACCCTCTCTCTCTCTGCCTTATTCTCTCACCAGATGTCTCAGAAAGGCCCTGAAGACATGTCTGGCTTTGCCCTTGAAGCATCTCTTGGAACATGTCTTCGCCCCGTCGGCTACCACGACCCTCTACAGTAACATGAAAAGCCCCCCGCCTCCTTCCGCGCCACCAGGTGCTCCAGGAAGGCCAAGGACAACGTCGGGTGTCCCTCCAAGAGTTGAAGCACCTCATCTGCCAAAAGAGGCCGCCCCTGGCGTTCTGGACAAATGCGGCAAGCTCGGAGGTCTGCACAAGTCTTGTGAGTGTTTAAATGGTTTTGGTCTGGATGGACAAGTGGATCTTCTTTTTCGCTAAGAGCGCACCGTTCTCCCATGGTTGGCCCATGACCACTGATTGTGCTCCTTTGTGCAGGCAAAGATGGCCCCGCTTTTACTTATATATCTTTCTTTTGTATCTTTTGCAGAGAAACAGAGCGGGAGCAGGATGCTGTTCCAATGTGTTCAGTGGTAGCCTTGTGGCCATCGCATCGCGCTTCCAGCTGGACTTCTGTGAGTGGCTTATGGGCGGAATCGCCATGGCGGAAAACCACTGCCGGCACAGTGAACTTCGGCAGGTCGACACGCCCCGAAGAAAACGCACGAAGAAAGGTGTTCGACAGGGGCTGAGGGTATTTCAGCTGTGCGGTAAAGAAGACTGCTAACTTCTTATGCACCTCGGAATCAATGGACAGGCAGGCTGGGAAGACATTCACAATTCTCAAGGTCGTAGTTAAGCATAACTTTCAGAAGGTGAAGATGGCACTCTCTCCAGGGTCTTTTCCAGTTCCTGCAGTCCTCCAAATAATGAAAAAACACGCCAAGATAGCACCCGGTCCATGGACAAAGACACTGAAATCCGGTGAGCCTGCCTGTGGGAATGCTTGGCTGAGCCCCAAGGAGGACGGAGGATGGAGGAGCCACTCTCTACTGAGCAGGGTCCACTTGGTCTGAAGGAAAAGGACAATGGATCGACGTGTTCCGCCTCTTTGCACCGCTGCGGTAACCAGTTTTCCGCTTCTTGACCAACGAGTTGATCAAGGATGATCAAGCAGCCTTTCCAGCTTATGAAGCAAATCGGTGTCACCATGGTGAAACCTGCACCACCTTGTCTCACGAGACAAATCGAGACTGGAGACAAAGGCTGTGGTCACAAGTGCGCTAAGCCAACAGCCTCCTCCTCCGAGAAGCCAACAGCCTCAGACACCCTCCTCTTCAGCGGTCGTTAGTTACTCTTGATCGGTCGTTAGTTAATCTTTGAGAAAACAGCATACGGGCACCATCGGGATGGAGTCCAACACAACACGAGCCAGGAATCGGCGGAACCATCTTGTGTGTCCGGAACAAGGGATTGTTATCAATAGACATATTGGCATGTCTTGCAGTCATCCTCCACGGCTGTATGCAGCTTCACCATGGCGGTATAATAATGTTCCATCTTTCCACTGTGTACTTTCAGTGGTTTCAGAATAGATTGCACAAACCCAACGATGTCTTTGATATGGGGTCCATATAAACCACCGAACTTGGAGCTTGTGCCATCGAACCTCTGAAACCACTGTAGCTTGGTTTCGCATCCACCAAGCACGTACCATCTCCGCGTCCCGCGTGGAAGCGCGTGCCTCTCTCCCGCGGCCCGCCGTGAAGACCTGAGTGGCTTGCTGTCTAGGAACCTGGACAGCAAAACTTCCCCAGGGGATTGACCATGATTGACTCATAGGGAAACGAGAAGAAACACCTTCAAAAGCAAGTACCAGATATCGACCGGTCAACTGTTCGGCTTGACCTCCACTGTTGCTGGTTCATCGGATCGAAACGCACGGTTTGGCTACGTGGTGTCCAGGCGTTGGCCATCAGCGTATATCGATCAGCGTTATGGCGTATGCTTGGCTTACATTCCATGCCAAAAGGAGCTTCATCATATCATATGGTTCATTGTCCCGCCCTCGGTCCGCTTGCTGACCGGTCAGGCGGTCAGGGCAAGGCCAACACCGGCAGTATGGCTGCAGGGTCCACGTTCAAGATCTGCGGCACAAACCTGAACAAACAATCTGGCAAACCGTCGGGAAGGTAACCTACACCTGTCGATGGTGATCGGTCTTTCGTCATAGTGGCATTTCTTTGAAGCCAGGAAAGAGAGTAATCTTCCCTCACCCGATGGCTTATGTGGTTTGGGTAAAATCAAATTGAAGGGTATCACACATCGTCCGACTCATCTGATTGCTCATCTGATTGTCAAAGCATCGGTGCTCGAAGCAAGCACGCACGACACGAACACATGTTCGCTTTGCGTGGAAAAACATGGCCATGTTGACTTCTCATCAGCTGTACTCGAATCTCTTGAAGGCCCCTGCTGACGCAACAAGGCAGCGCCAGAAGCACCATGGACGCTCCTGCGAAGTACTGTGCAGCCAAGAACTTTCAAAGTTATATATCCCAGTTTATCCGTCAAAATGATGCTTGTCTCTCGTAAGGTGTCCATCCGCCACTTAAAACTGAAAGAATAAACTGCTTGTTATAATCAGATATTAGATATTTTATTAAGTTGGCTTGAAACACACATCCTTGCCGAAGGGCCGCAGGCGTGATCATCTATTTTCCGTTTGTATCGGCTCCGCATTGGCTTTGATCAGCACTGAGCGGATCAATATGGTTTTTTATTTAGCGGATCCGATTGTGGCCAAGTCCATCCACCAGTTTCATCGTGTGGATCCCAACCGAGAAATTCTCGTCTCGATCGATCTGATGCCCAACGACACCGACGAAGCGAGCATGGAATGATTGCTGTCCAGGCAACAACATCTTCGAATCACTCCAAGGTACACGATTTATTTCATTTTGCATTCAAGCAACTTGCAAAAAGGAACCAGGAACACGACACCACCCAGCTCAGGTGGTTATTGGATGGAAAATACCTGGTCACGGCGCCTCTATACACCAGGCGCCTCCAGTCCTGGGTGGTGCTACTTTCGGCGCCACATCTACAAGTCTCTGGAATTCCGTGATAGTCGAATGACGACTAAGAACACTTATTGTACCATCACAAGAATCTCAGTCTTGGGATTTCATGTCTCTTGACCCAAAACGGCATCCAGGCCGTTGGCCGCAGGGGGTCCTGAGCACTTCCACCATCTCGGCCACGATTTGAGCGGTGGAGAGTCTGGCATCGCTCCTAGCTGTGCATCTGGTTCTCCCGACCGGTCAAGTCCAGCCGTGGGAGGAAAGCGGCTACTGCTAGACTTTGCACGCTTGGTCGGTAAATAACAGGTCTCACCATACCTCACCTGGACAGGGCTTCAAAGAAGCATCCTGCATTAATGTGTCATTTGCAAAGAGCCACATGTGCAAGCCGCCTGGTCAGCATGGAACTCCACTCATGTAGGGCCAGGTCGTACAATCCGTGCGCCTGCCAGTCAGATGGCATGGTCTTTCATGTTTCCTTTGTCGTTCAGTCACACGGAATCCTCCTCACACTTATTAGTACCGCTTCGGCTGGTCTGACCGAATGAATTCTTAGTATTGGGAGAAACACACGGGAGTAATGGACAAAATGAACAAACACATAAACTCTATGTCCATAGTGACGATAGGAACCTTGTCAACGTCAGGCCCCTGCCCCTTTAATTACATTCTGAATGATTCCGTCCAATCCTCATGTGTGTGCCCATGTGTGTCATGTATATATATACATCGTATATATATATATATATTATATCCCTATCCCTACATATTCCTACATTACACATCATCTTGCGGACTTGTACTGGTCAAACATAAGCTCTCCCGTCAAACGTCTCGCAGAAAGGCTTCCCGTGACTGGGCTGGCTTGGGTCGAAGATGGTCATTGCTCGGATTGCTTGGTCCCTGGAATCTGAGGTCTGGCAGAACAATTGCTTCGGAACAACCAACGAGTCAGTTTTTCACTCCACACCAGCCTTTGTCGCCCATGCCCAGCCCGCCCGTTCGCCGAGCCCGTTCGCCCGTCTCGGTCGAGACGTGTTCCGCAACGGGCATGGCCTTCCAAAGTCGTGCCAAAACATCCTAGGCAACAAGGAAGGTGGGAAGCAGGACACTTAGCCAGGATACGAGCCATGGCCATTATAGTTCGAAGGACTTTGGAAGGAACCTTCAGTTGAATATGCCTGGAGCATGCCCTGCTCTTCGGGGGGCAATCTTCCTTCATTGCGAGAGTGATTCCAATCTGTAAGGCATTGGCATTGGGGTTGACCGTGGCAAACATGGGACATCAATGGACAGTTCACAGGTTACATCCATCGGGGCAGTTCAGGGCAGTTCAGGGCGATTGCCGCATAGGGCGAATCAGGGCGATGGCAACCATATGGCACCGGGCACAGCAATGGCTGCAAATACCCAGCGACCTGTCTGGTCGAGCTGGCATGTGTTTTCACTGGCGCACGGTCGTCGACCTCTCTGGGCGACCGGGGAGCAACCCCGTGCGTCTGGACCTGCTGGACTCACGGATGATGTTGTTCGGGATGGGAGGGCCCCGGGATGTATTTTTCACAATTCAACAGGCCTTGAGTCAAACGGTGAAAAAAGAATCATCAAAAGCAGTGGTGATAACAGCATTAGCTTCGGGGAAGCCCATGTCGATCCATTGATGTGTGAACATGTTTCAGCTAAGCATGTCCCTGTTGCACATATTGAGGGTCGTTGGTGACGGATTACGGTGACTTTTGGGGGGCGTTCTGGTCTGAGCGCTGTTCTCAAGCCTGGCGCCAGAGCGCGCTGGTCTCAGTCCAAGTTGCCAGTCTTTGTCGCTGGCGCAAAAAGCCTGCGCAGGTGCGAAAAGCAAATGCTGCAGATGTTCACTTGGTATGGTCAATTTGAGCATACATGAACATAATATACTTTATTGACGACTTAGTTTTAAGTTTGATTCACTTAGGGTATACCATTGTCAAGGCTACAATATGTGATCTCATTTGAGCATGGCTGCGGCTATTCGAGCTACGCTCAAAACTTCCAGTCTCACGTAGAGTGCGCGACCAAATCATGAAACCCTCTGAAGAGCGAGACCAGGTTGCGTTGAAGCGGGGGTCTTCCGTCCTTGTGGTGTTTCTGTCGCGGGCTTTGCCCCCCAAAGCTTTCCCTACAGGTCAAGGACCCCATTATTCTTCAAGTGGATCATACAAAAACACTACTCAATGAGGTCAAGCACCAGGTTACCACTGTGTCAAACTGAACCTGCAGGGTTTGGCCTTGGAATCTTCGGTCTCCTCCCACCCGCATGACAAAAAACATCTTCGCATTTCGGCTGGCGAAGACTCCTCCTTTCAGGCGTCCAAGTGCTTGGATTTGCTTCAGGTCTTTTGTT